TAGAAATAACGTAAAACCAGAAACGCAGCAAACGCTTTATTAATTGGAAAAATTGTTGTCTTTGTTACTTCGCGATAAGTCATTTTACTCAATGACATTTATCTTGTTGTTTATTGTAATAAACAGACTTGAAAAATTGGCGAAACATTTTATGAGCACCGCGTGTCAATAATAAATATATAAATATAATCTTTAATTCTCTGGCGTATCATTGTATCAAGGTCAAAAGTTCGCGGACAGTTGAACATGTCCAATCAGAACCGACTGTTTTCGCAGCTCTTGCAAGTGTAATACGATAGGAAATTGCAATGCTTATGCGTAGATATTTAATATAAGTGATTACTGAAGAATTACGTACATTTTGCATAACTTTATTGGAGAACAAGGCACAACATTCATTTAATTTTATTGACTATTAAAAGCCATTTACCGAGGAGCAAAATTCCACTTTAACCGATTTGTTTTACCGACCGCTGTCATGGCTCTTGCCATTATCGACTAAGTTCGCGTTTTACCGATTACTCATTGAACGTAAACTCTCAAGTACTCGCCCCTGCTTCCGAAACAATATGGCGGCGTATACGAACTAATATCGTTTTGAACATATTTTGTACAAGTTTATTCAAGTTTGTCTTTACTTCATTTAATAAATATATGAACCAGTATTCGTATGTAGTTCGACTGTACAATATTATACAGATATATTGAATGGAGTATTAAAAATGCTATCAAAATAATGTACGAGTTCACGGATCGAAAGCTATTAAAAGTTTACGTGCTGTTTTCCACCACGAAATATTATTCATTATAACTGGAATTGCATAAAAAATATAAGCTCAATAGTAAATAATCTTCACACAAGTCATCCGACGACAGCGAGAAATTATTCTGTTTTACTAATTGGGTCCATGTTTTACTAATCGAGTCCATGTTTTACTAATCGAGTCCATGTTTTACTAATCGAGTCCATGTTTTACTAATCGAGTCCATGTTTTACTAATCGGGTCCATGTTTTACTAATCGAGTCCATGTTTTACTAATCGGGTCCATGTTTTACTAATCGAGTCCATGTTTTACTAATCGTTTACTTTACATATTTTTAACAGCCGTAAACACTGAGATATATTTAGCACTGAACAATTAATTAGTCACTACTGAATTTGGCGGGAAACCTACGTCATGCCGTTTCCTGATTGGTCAAGTTGAAACAATCGGAATGGAATGTGTTGTTGCAATAAGCAGCCTGTTAGTGGGGAGAAAACCTCGGACCCGCAAATAGGCTGCGTAAGAGACTACAGCATATCAGGCTAAGCAGCAACTAGAACATCTTGCTGGGGTTCTTGCAGAATATAGCAGCCATTGCAGCAACTGGTGGTTGCGGTATTCGAGGAACCAACGCACTGGCTTGAGCATGAGAGTATCTTGACCATGTTGAAGACATCCCGCTGCACTTCGCTCTTTCGCTCTCTGATCGAACTGACTAATGTATTCATGGTGGTCCGACCTTTCATAGCCTGCGTAAGATCGCTTTAAATATTGGCGTAGCCAGCCCGACAATTTAGTCCCTCTATCATATACGCAAATTCAAAATTATTATCATTACCGCGCGAGATTTAAAGCCGTAGAGCGAATGTTTTTATTTTTAAAAATTTAAAGACGAGTTTTTAAAAGGCTACTTTTAAAACATTAAAATGTCTGCAGATGATGAAGAACACAGTGAAAGTGAATTAAAAGGTACTCTGAATCAATATTCGTGACAAGAGAAAATGAAAACATAGTATTACCTGCCAAAGAATGAAAAGCCCAGCTCTTAAGTTAAATTAAATTAAATTTCAATCTTGAGCGATGACAGTGACTCGGACTAAATATAACCTTTTTGAGGTTTTTCTGTTAGATTTGATTCCTTTATATAATAAACTTCCATTGGATATTTATATATTTAAACGACTTTTGCTTGCTTGAAAAGTGCTTGTATTCAGAATGTTTCGTTCTTGAATTTTTTTAAGTAAACATGTCAGTCGACTTCCTTTAAGTTATTTGGCAGTTTCAGTCGCGTGCGGGAGGGGAAGTTGGGGAAATTCAGAGGGACGAATAAAAAAAAAATAGAAACATTATTTACTGGTACCGACCATTTAAGACCTGGAAAAATATTTCTCTATACGAACCTCCAATCCGGTAAATAAAATATTTTCTAAGAAGTATTATTTCAACTTTCAAGCTCAATTTTATAGATACATATTTTCGAAAAAAGCTGTAATATTCACGAAAAAAGCTGCCATAGCCAACAGAAAAAGATTTTTCAATTTTCCCGCGTTTTTCCCCGTATCCTAGGATACGAGGCCTCGATCACGATTTATGAACAAGGTCTATAGAAACCTATTGGAGGAAAATCTTGACAATCCAAGTAAATTGTGGAAAGCCGTCAAAAAGCTTTTCCCAAGCGAAAAGTCATCTACCAAAACTACCACCACTCGAGTTAAGTATGATGGTTAACTAACCGAAGACAATTACACACCTGGTCAAACGAATTTAAAAGATTGTTCCTTTACTCTAAATATATTTAGTATTATAATACTATTCATTCAACGGCTTAATCAACCTAAATACTAAACGATGTTCAATCAAGCATAATATTATTCCTAATACTACTAATAAATTATACTTCTCCACGTTTTTTCATTGCAGGCATATTTGAAGGAATAAGCTTTTCCTCTTCATATCATTTAATTTAATTTAATTTAAGTTACTTCTTCAGCAAAGACTGAAATACTTCATGAGGTACATCAATATTCCCAATCCTTCGCATTTTCTTTTTCCCTTCTTTCTGTTGATCTAATAGTTTTTTTCGTCTTGTCATATCTCCACCATACTATTCAAAGTATACAAATACGCGAAATAAGGCTAACCATATAAAAATATATAAGAAGACCTGCAAGAACTCCTCATTTGTGGAAGTTTTAGTGCTCGAGCCAACGGCGCATAACCCGGTGACTAAAACTTCATCAATGATCCCGGGTTCATGAGCATATATATAGTGGTGTATTCAACTCTAAGGCGACAAAAATTATACATGTGCATATTTACATGATAATGCGGCTCTTATATATTTCCAGCCTGCACTCATTATGTCCAACTTGCACTCATGATGGCCAAAAGTATGGTCCGAAAATACAACGCTCAGAATTCTTCAGTTTTTCCACATAATACACTATATTTTAGCAAGGTTAGCACAAAACAAGTTTGGGGACCGTTGAAAGGTTTTAAATTATTTTTGGAGCCGTGAAAAGTGAATTTTTGAAAATTTTCGGCACGTTTAAACTTGCGCAATAAAGCGTTTGCATTCATTCCCTGGGGACTAACTCAACAAAAGCCAAGGCGGCCATGTAGTGTTCCAGACAAAAGAGTATAATTAAAATTCTTTCGAAATGGAACACCAACATGGCGGCTGTGACGTTATGTGCAAACGCTCTATATTTGAAATAGAGAACTGCTACCACAGACGTTTTTGCATTTACTACATATAAACTACCTATATCTATGATGCTTGTGATGTTACTCTGAGTGTATATCCACACCGGACATGCTTGAAAAATATGCCTGGTCACGGTGGGAATCGAACCTACGACCTTTGGAATACTAGCTAGCCCAATGCTGTGCCTACTGAGCTACGCGGTCAGGTCGGCTCAAACCGAGTACACTACACCAACACAGCAAATATCATACTTATATCTATCCAAAAAATGAGGTTTAACCTTTTGTATGTGATGCTTTCTGGTGAATAGTAATTTTTCGGCTTATTTTGGCTAAAACCCAGGTTCAGCGGGAATTTAACTCAATTCTCCCCAATTCTTTTTTGAAATTTAATTTAATTTAATTTAATAGCTTAGCGAGCCAATTACTGCGGCCCCTTTAACAACAACAAACAAAATGATAATATAGGAACGAGTTGTTTCCTTGTCCTCAGGCAAATCAGAGCATAAACAAATACGAGAAAATTGCACAAATAGGGAGTTTACGCATGTAAGACGACAGCGTCAGGACGACGGCTAAACAAACTGTTTGAAATAATGATTGTATAGAAAGATTGTCTTATATTTACTTTCGTATGAATTTAATACATTTTCGAACGAGTAAAACAGAATTTTAATCTTTAGAGCAATGTTGATCAACTCTGCTAAAAATTGCCTGTCGTGCACGGCTTGAAATGCTAGCGTACTCTACGAAACGCGACAAAATTGCTCTTTTGGAGGTGATTCAACTCCTTGCATTTTACAGTGTAACAAGGGTGTACTTAGGACATGACGAAAGTCTTTTTTTTGTTGTGTATGAAGTATTGTTTGGACGTTCTGTCATGCATACAAATTAGGATTCGAGCGTATGATTTATAAACTGCCCAATAGAAACCGAGTTCATCATGATATTACAGACTATATCTAACGGTGGTGCTATTTTTGGGCACAAATTTGCATGTCGAAAATACTTCAAAGGCAAAGCATAATTGCAGTTTAGTTACAAAACATAATTTTTCAACAGGGCGCTTATACTTTTCGAACGAGGGAATGTGCTGAACACATGAGAATTGTAAGAAAACGTTTATCATTTTCGCTTTGATTAAAGTTTTTACTAAATCTTTACCGTTTTCTACTTCAACTGCGTCTTGGGCTTCCACGAGCGAGTGTGGTTGAAATATTCAACATGGCGTACACAGTCAGTGAAGCGGGGAAGAAGTTCGATTCGCAATGGTCAGGAACAAATTTTTGAATATTTCACAATTTAAAGGTTAGTACTACACTAAATTATTTTCAAGGTAAGGAACACGTCGTGACTTCTTATTTGCCTAAAAATTTCGGTTTAATTCTAGCGACTCGAGAGACAAAAATGTTTGCACACTTGACCGTCGACAGAAACAAAAGATGTTTGATCAAACGTTCTTTTTACAAGTTGAGGTTGTTTGGCGTAGAAAATAAAAACAGTTGCTGTTTGAAATACCGAGCTTTCACATTTCAAAGGTTTTCAAAGATTTAAAAAGCATGTATTATTCATTGCTGTTCAAGTGTCCTATTGGAGTTTTTAACTACAACATATTTACGCGAGTCAAATTAAAGCAACCTCGCGTGCATGCTTCGAGTATATTTTGGAAAGTTTCTAGCCGTTTGGTTTGTCGTCTATAAATACGGTAGAAGGAATGCAGTGGACAAGAAACCTCAGTGGTACAGTATTCCCCATTTTAATACCATGCATTACTGAAGGATTATTTGATAACTGACAACTCGACTAATCTTGGAAAACCACCAAATGCTCACAAGCATAAAAAGTACGACTATCACATGTTCAAAGATAAAATGGTTACCCAGGCTGTAGTCAAGGCCAATGTTTTGAAAGGCAGTTAAACGTTTTTCCTGATTAAAAGTGTTATACATGCTTAAATGAAAAAGGCACACTATGCAGTCCATGTTCACCTACTGTACACCAAGGACACTGGTAAAATATCCTGTGCAAGTTGCATGCACTTGTACACCAGGAAAAGGTGGTTGCTGCAAACAATCATGTGCTATTTCAAATTTTGGACAATATCCAACTTGAATTAAACTGAAGTCCCAGATGATTTAACATGTACACAACTTTTACAACAGTGGCATGCGCCTAATACTAGCGAGAAACTTGATGCTGCAGTGCTTTTCGACCAAGTAAAAATAAACAAGGCAACTTTCATGCAAGACCAAGACATAAAAACATTACGCAGCAGACCCAGCACCAGCTTTTTGGTTTGAAAACTGTTGGTACTTGTGATTACTTGCGGGGCCATTTAGAGTCCAATAATTGTGAACCATTCCAATATCAAGAATTTGTTAAGGAATTGTCTTCAAAAAAAGCATTCAATGATGCAAACCTATATTTGCAAATCAAATGTACAAAATCGAAATTCGAAAATCTATACTAAAACAAATTACTGTGTGCAAAGATTTACTTTCTCCGGAGTACACATCATATACTCAAAATACTCTTTTTACAACCAAAGAACAAATGGTTGACATTGAATGCAATATAAAAGGTCAGTCACAGAGCAAACTTTGGTTTCATGAACGACGAGGTCGTCTAACTGCCTCACATTTCGGTACAGTAAAGAAACAAAGAGAAAATATTTCCCCCCACATGATTTCCTAGCAAAATCCTTTTGCCAGCAAGTAATGCTACAGTAATGAGCAGCTGCCATTGAAAAATATTTGGAGCAAAATAATTTAGATGAACTGCATGTGTTCAGTGTGGGTTAATTGTTAACACAGAAGCTCCATGACTTAGTGCAATAGACCTTTCCCCTTATAACCAAAATGTTGATCTAGGCAAGTCTAGACAAATATTTCATCACAGCTTGAAAGAGCATCACACAATGAGTAATATTCCAAAGTTTCATTGCAAAATGTTGTAAAATGAGGAAAATAGAGCCTTGCGAAGTTTGCAATTTTCAGTCATTTTGCATTACAAACGGGAAATTGCAGCCCCAACACCCGAATCGTATGTCAATTTCCCGTTTGTAATACAAAATGACTGAAAAACGGCAAACTTCGCAAGGCTATATTATCCGCATTTTACAAGATTTTGCAACAAAACTTTGGAATATTACTAATTTTGTGATGCTCTTTCAAGCTGTGATGAAATATTTGTCTAGATCGAAATTTTAGTTATAAGGGGAAAGGTCCATTCAGACTGCTTGTTATGATCATTATTAAAAGCGCGCGGAGGCGAATAGACGTTTGATTGAACTCCGCTTAGAATTACTGTAAATTATTTTATACTAAAAATACAACTAAAGTGAAACGTATCATCATGAGTACAAATAAGTTAACTTATGACGGCGATATCTATCTTTGGAATGGCTCGTTGACTGATTTAAAGTGTTGTCGAACACATTTTAAAGGTGCAAGGGAATGGTGTTCGCCTGGCGAAGATGTGAAGCTCTTCTGTGACGACGAATCCAAATTCAGTATCAAGTGGTGTGGTCAATTACGATCTCGAAAACTCATCATTCAAGCCGATAGTGATGAACATTATTTAAAGTTGGAATTTCAAAAATTGGCTGGTACATGCGAAGATTGTTAACAACCCAGACGCTGATGAAAACTTTGTTGACCTAATAACGGACATATCTATTGCCAAGGAGGTTGTATATACAGCCGATGAGCAAAGTCAAGTTATATTACTGAAGAAATCAATGGAAGTTGAAGTTATTGATGGGAATAAACAAAATCATGAAACTGTTAGCTGTGTTGTTGACGGGGATATGAAATACATCAATTAACCGGAGGTATGTGGCCATGTTTGTAACTGCACTTGTATCTGTGCCAACACAGTAAACGTGGAATTAGAGGGTTTAAAGTTGGAAATGACAATCCTTGAATCCCGGTTGCTCCGTTGCTCCCCGTTGCACCTCTAAAAGCGACAATGAGTCTGAGATAAAATCACTCCGAGTAAAATTGAAGGCTTTGGAAGCCGTAATTCGACATCAGGACGAATTGCAAATGACCTTCTGCTTTGTAGTAGTGACAAACAAATATTTTCCCGCGACAATGACGAATTTTCATGTCACGATAATAATCAATTTTCAACACCCCAAGAAAATCAACGTGTCAAAACCGATCTCACTACTAAACAGAAAGAAGAGATTAATATGTTGAAAAATGAGAACATCACATTAAAATCACAACTTGAGAAGGCGACTAATATACTTACAATCGAAGGGGCTCCTATCAAACAGGTAAAACCTTCACATTGATGAGCATCTCTCATGGTCTGTTCATATTGATGCCATTTCCAAAAAAATCGCCTCTGGCATTGGTGCGCTAAAACGCATCAGGCCTTTTGTTCCTCGTACAACTCTGCATACTATTTTTCATTCACTAATTCAACCACATTTTGACTATTGCAGTGTTGTGTGGGGGAATTGTAATAAAACTCTTGCTACAAAAATGCAGAAGTTACAAAACCGTTCGGCTAGGGTTTTAACATTTTCCGGCTATGATACTAATGCTGATGGTCTTCTTCAAGACCTTGGATGGGAAAACCTTGAAACACAGCGTCAAATTCATCAGGCTATTGTGGTCTATAGGTCAATAAATGGTTTGGCTCCTGAATATCTTCGTTCAAAATTTGTTGATCGTCGCTGTGTTTCAGGTTATTCTCTTAGGGAACTTGCTGTTCCTCTTCCTCGTACTAACTACCTAAGAAATTCCTTTAGTTATAGTGGTGCAGTAACATGGAACAGCCTTCCTGTTGAGTTGAGGCAAGCTAATTCTCTAAATTCGTTTCGATCCGGCTGTAATAAATTTCTCTCTTCTCGTTCGTAATACCTAATTAATGCACGGCACTCATGTAAAGCTGGTTTTTCTTTTGCTATTTCTTAGTAGCCTATGTATTTATATATTGTGTTATTTATATTGTAAGTAGTGTGTTATTAGTTTTATGCATAATTCTGTGGATTTATTTATATATATATATATATATATTTATATATATATATATATATATATATATATATATATATATGTAATCTTAATCCTGATGAGTACACCGTGGATAAATAAAGTTACCTTACCTTACCTTACCTTACCTTACCTTACCTTACCTTACCTTACCTTACCTTACCTTACCTTACCTTACCTTACCTTACCTTACCTTACCTTACCTTACCTTACCATACCATACGTCTGAATACGCACAAATTTTTTAAGCATGCTTAAAAAAAGTTTCTGCCTCGCCGTATGTCAGCGTATGCGACCCTGCTAGAAACGTATACAACCTATGTCTAACGTACCCCCAGTATGTAAGCGTTTTCCAGCGTATAGGCCTGATTCCACGGGCGCTTTTTCTCGGCGAAATGCGAAATATTTCGCCTGTTTCTTTTGAATTGCGACCACTCGAATAAATTATTTCTACTTGACTGCCCACAATTCAAAAGAAACAGGCGAAATATTTCGCATTTCGCCGAGAAAAAGCGCCCGTGGAATCAGGCCTTATGAGTGATATTTTTCATACGCTGGCATACGCTAGTACGATACGCAATATTGTGACAGGGCCTTTAACAACACAGTAGATGGGAGAATGGTCACTTAAATTTACGTGTAGGACTCCAGAGGAAATTATTCGATTATTATTGACAGCGAATAGGAGATCAATCAATGTACTTGAGTTCTATGTTATTCTCGTTGGTTTATCAATAAGTTGTTCAAGATTGGAATAGAGATTTCAAGGAAGAGAGATTTCACCATCGGTTATATCAAAAAGAAGGGCTTTGAATATAATTTTGTTTTAGTGACATTATTTAGTGACATATATTTAGTTCACAGTCTGGTGGTCGATAAGCAACACATATCACGATTGATTTTAATTTATTGCACTGAAGTTTTATCCAAAGTTGTAGTTGTATCTGAAATTGAAGATAGATTATTCAAACGGGACGCTTTAATGCTACTGCGAATGAAGGCACAGACACCACTCCCTTTCCTGTGGAGGCGATCGAGTCTAATCAATTTATAACCGTCAATTTCAATTTCAACATTCTTTACGGTGCTATTTAACCACGTTTCTGATATAGTAAATATATCAATGCTATTAGTTGTAACAAACTCTCTAGCTTCAATGAAATGCGATCGATTTTTATTAACCTTTTGTTCAAATGGGTTATCTTTATTTTTCCAAACATTGTTTAAATATTGGTCGTAGGTTTGATAAGCGGAGGAGTTACTAAATTGCGTGGATTACCATGCAGTACATGAACTGGAATGTTATATATTCTCTGTCTGTATTTGAATCTGGGGCCAGGGCACAGGAACAACTACCTAAGTTCGATAAAGGGATCATTGAGTCAGGAACATGGGTAGGTTAGGAATCGGGGGATTTGTTGGCCATATACGACGGGGAAATGGTGGGTGCGTTTGAACTTCCATTAACGGTTTTAGCCAAGGTTGGTGTAACGACATGGTCCCTGATGGTGATTTGGGCCAGGACACTGCTCGTTCATTATTCCGCGTTGCATTAACTAGGTAAGCTCAGACCTAGGTTGCATTAAGGAGGTAAGCTCATACCTAGGTGTTATGTTATTGGAGAAACCATGGTGGGAAAAATCACACCTATTTTCTTTTAAACAACCTTTTCTTTGTAAAAAGGGACAGGGCACCAAGTGTTTCTTGCGCAATTGCGCAATGGTTCTGGGTGTTTAAAGTCACAGCGATTGCCTTTCACGCACCACCCTTGACGCGTGTGAAACGGACAGGGAGTGGAATTCTTCGAGGAATTGAAGTGACAGTTCTTTTCAGGATTATACTGGAGCATTATCAAACGTATAAAGTCTCTGTCTCGAACCTATCACCATAAATTCAGTTTTGGACATTAACAATAAGCCACTCACGAATACTCTCAAGATCATTAGTGAGATTAAGTTCGATTTTAGCGATTCATTATCCGCATATGTCAAGTGAGTATCGTCTACAAACATACGAGGCTGTGAATGTGAGAGGCAATTCGGCAAATCATTTATATACAATAAAAATAATAACGGCCCTAGCAATATTCCTTGAGGAACACCACATGCATGTTAATGCGCGGTTTTCGGATAGACACCCATTTACAAAACACTTTTGGCGACGACCATTCAAATAAGACTCAAACCATTTGTGTACAACACCTCTAATACCGTACGCATTAAGTTTAGATAATAAGTTATCGTGATCTACCGTGTCAAAGGCCTTTTGTAGGTATAGAAATTCAACGGCATTCACACAACCGCTATCAATACTATATGCCCAATTATCCGTAGCCTCCAATAAAGCGGTGGCAGTGGAGTGAAGGCCGCGAAATCCAGACTGACAATTTGAAATCAAGTTATGATTGTTAATATAAGCCAATACTTGATCGAATACAATTCGCTCAAAAACTTTAGCAACAACCGGTATAATCGAAATAGGTCGATAATTGTTCAACTCAGAGTGACTCCCATTTTTTAAATAAAGGTATAACTTTAGAACACTTCCATTCATCTGGAAATACACCAGTAGAAATGGACCAATTAAAAATCAAGCAAATTAGGGAGTTCGAAATGAGATCAGCGCATTCACGTAAGAGACTAACAGAGATTTTGTCCAGACCAGTTGCTTTGGATTTGCTAAGCCTATATAACAACGAGAAAACTTTAGAGTTATTTGTTGATTCTAACTGAAAGGGTTCATGGTCATGCATATGATTACTGAGATAATGTAGGGGAGAGCGCGATTGTTTACGCTAGTCGAAATTTCATCAGCCAGATTTGGACCAACAGTGACAAAGTGATCATTAAAGGCTTCAGTGAGATCCGACGAATCAGTTATTGACACGCCTTCGCATTTTATCTCGTTAACAAAGGAACTTTTAGATTTTCTTGATGTAAGTTCATTTATAACTCCCCATGTTTTGCGCGGATTGCCTACACACCCATGAAAAGCCTCTTTGTAATATCTTTGTTTAGCCAATTTTATTTCATTGTTCACACTATTACGACAGTTTTTGAAAGCACGCCAATCGTTCGGATCATTTGAGCGAATTGCTTGAATCTTTCAAACATCTCTTCTGTGCATGCATTGTTTCAAATAGTTAACATGCACCGAAGCACGTAAACGAACGTAAAGCCTCATTACTGAACGAAACAATCGTCAAAACTATAGTTCCCTATTGGCTGATAGCACTCAATCCGTTCTCAACCGTATAATAGCAAGCTCTTATTGGATAAACGTTTGGCAAATTTATTCGCACGAAAGTTGGCAGTGTGTTAGTGATTTACATACGATTGCTTACGTACTGAACGTAAACGCGAAATTTGCATGCATGAGATGTTAATATCCGCAGAATGTTAACTGATATAACTTTGGAAGAATGGAAGTCGACTTGGCCGCTGTTTGTACACGAAAATTTAGTTCATTTTCAATGGAATTTGATGACTCGACAGTCTCGTGCCATATCATATGCTGTACTGTATATGAATTTGCATGAAAGTAAACACAATTCCCAAAGGGCAAAATTGCTCCAGATGTCTATACTATAGACATTGTCATTGCGCTACTCAATACAGTATGTTTCGTAAATTGTCCGATTCCCAAAGCCAAAGGCAAACATATTTGTGAAGAGTTTAAATTCGTTCATGAATCAATCATGACATTACGAGATTTATGGCGAGGACATGTACATATCAACGATATTTCAGCATTGAAGCATGCATATAAACACGGCGAGCCAGAGTAAAACGATTTTAATTTAAAATCGATAAAGGAAAATGGATCGCTAGAACATTTTATGGCCAGTCTGTTTTTGGGATTTGACCTTGAAGGCTGAACGACTAATTAATGTATTCTCTTGTGACTCAAACTTGTGACTTTAAGATTCAAACATTTTCTGTGCAAATAGTTGGACATATGTCTTCACGAGAATGAGAACTTTGTATATGCAAACATGTTTTCGCACGATGCGATAGTACTTTAGGAAATTTCAAGACTCTATAGTGATCTACACGACTACACATGCATGTCGACGTAGCTTCAAATCGAAATTGTGATTAACTGACAACATGATAAAGTATTAAGAATTCACACATTTTGCAAACAATATGCATATCTATGATTTCATTTACACATATTACATGTGGAGCGAATCAGAATTCAATTTCTTACGTTTGCAAATTAACATAACTGAATATACGTTCGTTTACGTGCTTCGGTGAATGTTAACTAATGAGACGTAATCCAGGGTGGCTTAAAAGAACCAACACGCTTCGTCCGAATAGGAGCATGTTTGTCAGCGACATTCAAAAACATGTTTCTCCAAATATGCCACATGCTATTAGGATCATTAAGTTCACTAATTGAGTTCCAGTCTTGAGAAGAAATGTCATTGCGGAAGCTAGCGGAATTAAAATTTTTAAATTTCTTGTAAGTTACAGTTGAATGATGATTAATAGATAAACCAACTGCAAGTTTGCGAAAAACATAAATAAGACTATGATCACTAATGCTGATGTGGGAGACACCGGAGCAAACCACCCTAGTAGGAGAATTAGTAAAAATTAAGTCAATCATAGTAGAAGAAAAGCTAGAAACGCGAGTTGGTTCACTGATAAGTTGCTGAAGGCCATAAACATCAGCAATATCGGTTAAGCGACGCGAATTATTGTCCAGATTAGAAGCAATTAGGTTAGCGTTCATATCACCCATAATATAATACTCCAGGCCCTCAGCATCCATCTTACTGATAAGCGCCTCAAAGCAATTGAATTTATCAACACTAGAATCTGGGGGTCGATACCAGCTAGCAACGAGAAAAAGTTTGGAACGTGGCTTGCGAATTTCAATACATATAGATTTTCTAAATCTTTAAAATTTAGATCATGACGGGGAGTACAGTTAATATTAGTTCGTACATAAAAACAAACTCCTCCGCCATGTCGACCATTAGTATTACGGTCTCGACGAAAAATTTCGTAACCTGGAATAAATACTTCACTTGGTTTATACGATAAGCATATTCTAGGCACACGCTGAATACGCTAGAGGTACGCTAGATGTACGGTACTCATACGCTGGCATTTCAAAGAATTTTTGTGCGTATCAAAATTATTTAATTAATTTTCATACGTCTCTCATACGTTTCACTCATACGCAATAGTGTGACAGGGCCTTAAAGCGGGTGTACGTAGAGCACCAAGAGGGGTCATAGAATACAGATCCTACAACATTTATTCAAAGCAATCTTTCCTCGCTGATCTTGTACATGTTAATTTCGATCTTATTGACGAATAACAAGACATTAATGTCGCTGTAAGTAAATGGAATGAATGTTACCTTCACTCTTTGTGCTTTAGTATAACGTTATAACGGCGTTTAACGGTATAAACATCGAATCTTACAACTATCAATTCTCTGTATTTTCTACACAATACGATTTTCAAATCTCCATACCGCATGCTCTGTCAAGCCATGCGACGTACTTCCGGTGTAGTACTAATTACGTAATGTTAAATCCGGTGGGGTACACTCTCCCCCTCTAACGAAAAGAGTCGTCTTGGACTTTGAATACGCGGAACTGTTTCTTCTTCTTCGATTAAAGTAACGTTAAAATTAATTATCCTAATTAACTTCCTCTGGAGTGGGTTGATCAGGCCCATCGTTACTAATCTGTCCATACATCTTCTAAACTGTTCGAAGTACTTAAACCATGGATTGTAAAATAACTGGATAGGAAACTTGCTGACGTCACAGTCTAAACCTAGTTGCAATCTGTGACGTCACGCGTATAGCCAAAGTTCTCAGCATTTTTGTTGTTTCGCTATATTTTCCGCTTTAAAAGAGTAATATCGAAGCATACACTGGTCTAATTGTGTCGAAAACATGCCTAAGCCACGACAAAGTATTCAAGGTAAATGTTTTTCGTCTTTGTTTTGTATTTTTTTACATTTGTAGCTACGAAATTGGCGTTGCCAATTTTAACGAAATTTGCGATGCATTTTTCACTGTTTAGTGCTTGAAATATTTGCTAAAATTGACTTGGGGAATACTTAGAGATTTCATCGTAGAATGGCCTAGTTATATTTATTTGCTCTTTGACTAAAATGTTTAGCTGTATTATTGCTAAACATGCGATTTTTGAGAATTTGGTTTGCAACTACAGTAGGTTTCAACGCCATCATCCCATTGAAAACATTAAGTCACGTCAGCTAGTTTTCTATCCATGTATTTTATTATCCATGCTTAAACCTAAAGCAGTTGCTTTTTTTCTGAGTTACACCAAAACGTTTTCTTTCAACTATATTAACTAAACAATATAGATACTAATATGTTCTATAAAATGTTTGTCTACCACAATGGTACGATAGGAAGGGTTGGGTATGGGTTCCAAAATTGAGGTTGAGGGATCATTGGGGGAAATGTTCCGGGTGCAGGTGGATAGGATGAGGTCCGAAATTGGGGTATTGGAGGATTCCAATGGTGGAGGGATTGGAGGATTCCAATGAAATGCAGGAGTGTAGTGATTACGTCACTAGGACAAGTAGTCACGTGAACAGACACATGGGATGGGGAAAGCGAGCGATGGAGACGAACACATGCTTCGACTTATAGTTATAATAAATATCGATAAAAAACAACATTGGCGACGAGGATGGCTACTTCAAGTAGTCCGATAGTACAACCCATGGCGCCTTTTGATCCTGATACGGAAATTGGCACAAACCTCGCTCCAAAATGGAAAATATGGATTGATGATTTCAAGACATATCTGGTTGCTACAGGGATTACCGACAAGAAGCGACAGCGTGCTCTGCTTTTATATCAAGTCGGATCGCGGGTTCGTGAGATATTTCGTCAGCTTCCTGATACGGCTGAAGACAACGACCTTGATACAGCAGTAACTAAGTTAAACGAATATTTTGAGCCGCAAAACATCGTCTTTATGAAGACTACAAGTTTCGTTAAGCGGCACAAGAGAACAATGAACCGATCGATCAATATTACACTCGCTTACGAAGCTTGGTAGAAAGATGTGAGTTCGAAAACTCGGACTTTGAGATTATGCTACAAATTGTCTTAAAAGGATCGTCTAGCCGACTGCGAAAACAAGCCTTACTTGATCCTAAAATGACACTCAAAGATCTACTAATCGCTGGTAGATAATTGGAGATGAGCAGCTTTTAAGCGGCCGACATCGAACAAAGCGAAGTGAACAGGCGGAAGTACATGTCCTACACAAAAACACGCGTCAACCACAGTCTAGAAACACGTCGCTGTGTCGGAATTGTGGCGGAGAATGGCCGCACGAAAATGGAAATTGTCCTGCTCGTGGTAAAGAATGCAGAAGATGTGGTAAGTTAAATAATTTTGTCAAACAATGTCGATCTTCGAAAAACGCAGTGACAATAATATCAGGCCGGTCGTGGGTATTTCAGATAATACAAGTGAATCCAGCTCAAGTGACGAGTCCAGTTATTGTTAGAAATGCTGTGCTGAGTGGTTATATTACTACCTTAAAAATACGCAGAAACTCGACGTTTCGAGCGAAGGCCATTCGTCAAGAGTTAGTAGCAGGGATCGGGGAAAATGCACGGGCTTTTCACTATACTAAGAGTATGAAAGCATCACGTGACAAAAATAAACCAATAAAAAATAAACCAGTCAAGACAACGGCTAAAAATAACCCTACTACAAAGCTAAAGCTATTAAACAAACATTATGTAAAATTTACTGTTGACACTGGATCCACTATCAACGTTGTTAATCAAGCTGCGTTCAAACAACTTGGACCAATCAAGCTTACTAAGACTCGCATCAAGGCATACCCATTTAATGCAACAGAACCTGCGCGAATGAAAGCAAAGTTTCAAACCACAATCGAATCCTGGAAAAAGATCACTGTGGCAACAATTTATGTCACCGAAGCTGACGGGGGGTGTCTCCTTAGTGCCAATACGGCCGAAGAATTGGGACTTATGACTCTGCATCTAAACCAAGTCACAACTACAAAACCAACCAGCAAAGGGGCACAAAAGACTCTGATTGGCGACAAAAGGATCCAACGCATTGTAGACAATTATTCGAGTGTTTTGCAAGGACAAGGCAAACTACAAGACAAACAAATTGAGCTGATTATAGACAAAACCATCAAGTTTTGATTTACAGTTATAATAAATATCGATAAGAACACAACAAGGAGGTGGAGGGTGAGGTAGATGGAAAGGTTGGTTTGTGTAATCGATGTGGACTGGTAGATACTGCTCGACTTTTTCCCCATAAACCGGACTGATATACGCTGGATTTCTAGGATCATAATATGTGAATCTTTGAGGGGGTTGTCTTGTTTGCACCACGCGATTACCATCAGTTTCGACTTCTGGGTGAAGTATTATGTTCTCAGGATTCCTATCACCATGCATATTCTCTTCAGAGACATTTGCTTGAGTGTCATTTGAGGCCTACTCTGGGACCTTAACTCGCCTTAAATCGCCCTAACTCGCCTTATCTCGCCCTATCTCGCAATAGAAATTGATCGAATTTTGCTTAACTCGCCCAATCTCGCCTGATCTCGCAATGAGAAGTTGACATAGTTTTGCTTAACTCGCCTAAACTCGCCCTATTTTGCAATAAAAACTGCCACAGTAAAACACAAATACTGTCAATCAAAATTTTTTTTTTTTTTTTTTATATAAACTTTATTAAAATGTTTGCCTCAAAAGCCATAGGCTTATCAAGGAGGCTCACACAATCAAAATTCTTTAGACTCACAATACTCACTTATATATTCTATGAGTTTGGCATTGCAACTGACATCAACATACAAGTATGTAAGCCTGATTATCTGAAATGTTATCATATTTTTAATTTACTACATTCTCTGTAATGCCATAAAGCTGTATATTGATCAAATAATTCCACCAACTACTCTACTTTAATACAGTAAGCGGCATACTGTATACAGTAATACCCAGTATTTAATAAATCACAGTGAAAATAATTGAACACAATAACAAAACCCAGACTGCCAAGTATGGTTGAAAATTAATATTCCCATATATACTAATATACAGATCACTTATCTATTCTATTTCAACTATACAATTATATCAAAACATCAAAAGTACTTGCTTAGCTTTTATACAGCCATCACATAACTATCAAATTTTAATAAAATACTGTTATACTTATAGTATAAAGGTCTCTGTGATATCAACAGTTCAAACCACAAAGTTATTCGTTGAACTGTTTTTATATACAACCGGCAACAGAGCTACTGAACCAACGATACGCGCAGAATTTTAGGAGAAATATTTTAATACACAATCACATTCACAAAATTCGTGAAAATATAGATTTACAGTAAAAGCAAAGTTGAAGGTGATTCGGTGAATATTGTAGTAAACATACCGTGCTTGCCTGCCCTCACGAAAAAAGTCTATAGGTGGCCTATAGGTTCCTATAGAAGTTGTTCCAATTTCCTATAGAAGCCTTTAGGCACCTATATAGCCTGCGAACAGGCTCTCAAGCTGAATTGAGAGCCTGCATCGATGACTAATGAATTTGAATATCTGCCCCGTAACGTTCGTTTTTCCAAATATGGAATGTCTATCCTTATATGGTGTTGTTTACAACTTTCGTGCAAACTAAATTTAGACCATGCAAACTAAATTTAGACCGTACAGTTTATACTGTTTTTCGAAATATAAGATATTGAAGCAAAAGTTTAAATGTTTTAAATACTGTTTTCTCAAAACAGAACATTTCGTGCTTTGAGATAAGATGGCCAAGACCAATTTGATCAGTTAATGTGTTTTTTATGCATAGTGCTTAACAGTTGACATATATAGAGCTCAGTGGAATAATATAAATTATAGCATCTGA